CCTCCTCCTCCTCCGCCACCTCCTCCCTGACACATGTACACACACACACATACTTAAAAACACACACACACAGAGATAATCTGTAAAAAGTTTTACTAGATTATTCCACACGTGCATTAATTCTGTTGGCTGTGTGTGTGTGTGTGTGTGTTTGTGTGTGTGTGCACGTTGTGTTGCGTCATGGCCCAGCATAATGCAGACTTGTGTTTGATAGCAGTCATATGTAGGGCTGTATGGGCATTTGACAGCCTCGCCTAGCAGGGGTTATGGTGCCCGTGGTATTTAACACCTTGCCATTAATGTGAGAATGTGAGATGGGCAGTTATCATTGAAATAAACACGCTCTCTCTCTCTCTCTCCCATCGTCTCCTCTCTCACACACACACACACACACACACACCAACACACACATAAACACACACACAAATACACACATAGCACTCTCTCACTCTCACTTTCCTCTTTCTCTCTCTTACATGGGTCATTTACATTGTGAGACGTAACCGTTTTAACTGCACCATTTTACGCCTCAAAATTCGTGTATTGAGCCAACATAAAAATTGTATGGTTTTGCTCCACTGTTGAAAACCTTTTGTCATAGTGCCCTGGCTTATTAAAAAGCCTCAGGGAACGATTGTCAGTGTTGCATTTGAGAAACATTTATCATAAATACATTTGCACTTTTCTGCATCGATGCAATGATAATTCAGGATAATCCAGTCCGGTTTTTACTACATAATTATTTAAACTGAAGGTGCACGCCTGAGCGCTATTTTTCAGTCTTTTCCTTCATGCTAACAGTGATAGCTTCATGGGAATGAACAGAATTAGTTTTTTTCCCGTTTAACAAAACTAGAAAATAGGCTACATTTTAAATAGTTTTTTTATTAAACGGTAACGATCGGTTGATAATATTTCAAACACACATACATACAGGCTATTATTGTTATTATTATTATTATTATGGCCCTAATAAAATGATGCTAGTTGACTGATGTAATTTAACATCCCTCTGCTATTTTTTGTAGCAAGCTTAGTGTAGGCTTATTCATAATGTTATAATTGGTTTCAGTTTGTTGTGTTATTTATGGATTTAGCTAACAGCTTCATTTATGACGACCAACAAGCTCCTTTCATTTTATTTTAATTTAATTGAAGGATATAACCAGGCAATAGGACGTGTGTGTGTGTGTGTGTGTGTGTGTGTGTGTCCTGTTAATCCCATATTACTGAATTAAATGTTTTTGTAATGATTAAATGTGGGCCACACACTGAGTGTTCACATTAGGGTAATTATTACTGTAACCTGCGTGGCGTGTGTGTGTGTGTGTGTATGTATGTGTGTGTTTCTGTGTGTAATGAGAGGCGTTATTCCCTGGAGTCCGCAACCTAATCAAGGAATTAACTGGATGTGCAGCAGTGCTATCTGACATGCCTTGTTTCTTTGTCTTTATTTTTTCTAATTCTGCTATGATGCTACAGAGACTTCATTTTGTTTTGGGATGAACCTCCGAAATATTTCATTTGGCTCCGGTGTGTAAAGGTAATAAAATTTTATGAGAGTCTGAGGTCCCAACATAGACAAAAGAAGTGCTTACACACCCTAGTTTTATTTGATCTAATTATAGCTGTACATCACACACAAAAGCAATTTGCAAGCAGTAGGAGTTGAAGCAAAAGGTAGGATGTTCATTTGTTCAAGCGAGAGTCACGGAGAGTGCACAGCCAGGTAAAGCTGCTCTTATAAACTACTCATTTTGATCCAGATGAACGGTATTGAATGTGCATTTGAGATATGGGCGTGTACGTAGCATCCAGTGTATTGATGGAGGTTATAAAGCTGCATATGATCTCTGCACAAAATTACTGCCCGGATTTGGCCACAGTTGCTCATTGTTGTATTTCTCTTGCTCCGGTAGATGATTTATCAGCGGAAAAGACAACGGGAAGCTGGTTGAAAGCCAAAAGTGGAAGGAAGAAGCGGTGTCCCTACACAAAGCACCAGACGCTGGAGCTGGAGAAGGAGTTCTTGTTCAACATGTATCTGTCTCGGGAGCGCCGCCTGGAGATCAGCCGGAGTATCAACCTGACCGACAGACAGGTCAAGATCTGGTTCCAAAACAGACGCATGAAGCTCAAGAAGCTCAACAGGGAGAGCCGAGAAAGGGAGCACGGTGCAGTTTACAACTACTCCTGAAAATAATATTACCTGAACATACATTTACACTCACACATACACTCACACACACTCACACACACACACACACACACACACACGCACACACAGTCTGTCACACACAGAGACATGACAGGCACAGATATAGACAGACCATGCATGTGTCATCTTATATTGCATTTAATTTTCATTAATCAAATTTCCTCTTTATATGCACAGACACACAGACACACACACACACACACACACACACACGGCGTGCCTTCCTATATGAACTATAAAACGCTGCGACCTGCAGACTAGACTTTCCAGGTGAACACTTGCAGCAGCATTGGAACAGTGAGGTGTTACCTTGCGATGATAATTATAATATAACCTGAACAAAACGAAATGAGGAAGAGTCTATAAATAACTCGTGGCATGTAAGCAGTTTCACTTTGCTGAGCTATAATGACTGTTAAGCCACTTGTGCATCTTCTTCGTTGGCGTCTGTTGCTGGTGGCATATCCGTGCAGTGTAATGTGCATGCACAAGACGATATTAAGCTATGTCATGGCAAACGATTCCAAAACAATAAAAGGAGGGGGAAACGGAAAGGTATTACCAACTTTGTCCTTCCCCTGGTATAGTGGTGCAAATGAGAGGGAGGGAGAGACACTGCGGATGAGAGAAGGAGATTATGGCACTTTTAATAGAAGTGAGAGACCATAACGTTGATTTAAATATTATCCAGGTGACCACAGTAAGTCAAGGTCATAAAATTCTAATGTCAGGTTCGCCCTGGAAAGCGTTGGGGGTGGATTTTATGATCTGCAAATATAATGTGCTGCAGCAGTAAAAGATGCGTTTAAAGGTGTGTGTGTGGAGGAGGGCTAATCCACACAGCAGAGACTGCAATGTGCAGGATCCAGCCGAGGCGCTGGGCTGGAGGGAGCAGCCGCCTCCACCCGGGGATAATGGGAGCTTCATGCGAGCAGGAGATAAGAAAGATGGTGGATAAAAGGGACAGCGACCGCGACGGCTGCGGGAACAATAATAACAACACGCCTCACGGCAAACACGTGGATAACTAAACGCACCGGGGAAGGCGTCCGCAGCAGGCAAGAGAAGGTAGGACTTCAATTTTACGTAATATTTTTATTTCCTGTTGTGGAAAGTATGCCACATCTGTCAGTGGAGCTGGGTTGACAGCTCTGGTTGCACGCATGGTGCACGCCTGCACACGTCGATAGTTTATATGAAGCTGTTGATATTAATCAGCCTGCTGCTGATTTCTGCTGAATATTTTGCATTACTGTGATTGTTTTTTTTTTAATTTAAATTGTCTTATTTGGCATAACTGAATAAATGTTTGTGCTGCTACAGTGTTATTTGTGGAATTATAAAGATAGCAATTTGAGCTCGACGCGGTTTTTTATGCGTAAACAAGTTAAGACATGCGTTGCTATAGGCCTGTGTAAGTGCTAAGAAAGTAGTTTTAAGGCAGTGTTAAGAAAGTAGTTTGATTGCAGCTTCAGCAGACCATAGTGTGTTTTATTGTGTCGGTACTCGCCTTTTCTCTTTGTGCTGGATAGTGTTAATCCTCACTTGGTTTTTGCATGCATTGTCCTTTCCATGGATTTTAACCCCGTTATCGCGAAGCTGAAGCGTGGTTTAGGTAGTTTCATGTTGTTGGGGTTGGCTTCCTGGCTCGGCAACAAGAAACTGCCTTGATTACGTCAGTTCGTCTTCATCAAGGGCACAATTTCCGCTGAATTACCCCCTATAGTCACCCAGGTCCCCGCAAATGGCATTGTAAATGAACTGAGCTGCAATACCTTGGACAGAGACGTTTTCTTTCTTTGCTGTTATTTTGTGGTGGGCTGTAAAACCTTCTGAGGCTCTCAGAAGGAGAATAGGTTGTAAACAACATGGGGTAAAGTTTTAGACTGCGTTGTATTGCATCTGTCAGCTGCTTTATGATGATCTGAATAGATAGATGGAGAGATAGACGGATGGAGAGATCTCACATAATTTGACTCATTAATTTATCTGAGGAATGAATCTAGGTCTATAACAGTAAAAGGATGCGTATTGACATTTCCATGATCTTATGTGGGCATGCTAATGCTCGGCTGCTTGAAATGTTTTATTCCAAAATGTGCAATTCCAATTTGTAATTTTGCAGTTGTATACTGGGAAGTATATGAAAACATATTTGACTCTATAAGATCTGAAATAATTCTTACTTTGAAGGTAAATGTTATCCACAAACTTCCACACATAAGAACATCGACACTACTTACAGCAATCTTAAAGTCACATTAGCTAATTGCCTATTTATTTATTTATTTCACTGAAATGACTGCAAACATAGTTGTTCTGCATTAACTTAATGTTATACGTTCATCTTATACTTTGATTGTTCTTAATCTTGTTTTACTGCCAAGTTTGAAGTTAAATTTCCCGGCCAGTTAAAGAGCTGAAGGTATTTACGTATCTTAGGCCACTATGTAAACATCTTATATTGCCCTAATTTGATTAAGACCCAGTTTTTAAGACCTGGACCTTGTTTACAGATAAGAATACTTCTATCTTCTTTAGATTCAGCTAACAATAGCCTCACTATTTAATGGTATTTGATAGTGAGGCTAATAGAACTGAATTATTTGACTAATTGCTGGCACATATGGGCTAATTTATTTATGTCGGAAAATATTATAGCATTGACCATCATACGTATAGACCTAACTTTATTTAAGTCTCGTCTAATCCATTTATACATTTATTACTAACATTATTGGTTAATTATAACGATTTTTTAAAAAGAAATTAAATCAAGAAATGGTGATTCAGGAAAACAAAAGTCTTCAGGAAAGTGACGAGCTTATCTGAAAGAAATACAAAAACTTATTTATAGAACAGTCTGTCCTTGTGACGCAGTCAGCATCTTCCCTGCAAGAGTGTCCAGTGTTTATACTGGTCACTATTTCCCCTTGTTTTCTCAGCCCCCCCTCCCTTTGGCGGTAGTGCAACTGGAAGAGACAGTCTGGAATCCAAAGTCACTTTCATTCAGCTCAGTGAATGAGTGTCTCCCTTGGAATGCATCACTGACAAAGACTTTACAGCGCTGGAAACAGCCCCGAGAGCTGCACAGATTCACCCTAAAACCATATACACATAAAGCAATTTATTTCACTTTGTAGTGCCGCACAGGAACTGGAGGCTTTAGAGAGCCACTTCCTTGGGACAGCTCAAACTGTGTTACTGCCACTGGCATGATCAGACATGAACCAAATATGCTAACGGATTTTCTTCTTCTTCTTTTGACACACATCAAGTTTTTCTTGTGAAATATTGTAGAAAAATTAGCACCTCGTACTTCATTTGGGATTTTCTTTTTAAAGATAAAGTTAGCAGATGATTACATTCAGAAGAGGAAGGATATTAACTTACTTTCTTTCACCGAAAGTGTTTTATTATTATTTCAAACAGTGTTGGCGAGATGAAACTCAAAATGTGGCTTTTTCTTTAAATGTTTTAATGTGAATTACTAATTGTGAATGGTCCCTATCCTCTTTGCATGGTTTGGAGCATGCGATCAACTAAGATGTGCACACGGAAACAACATTGAGGCTACAGAAATGTCCCATTTTTAAATTCAAGAGATTATTATCATTGTCCCACAGCACTCGCCTGTTTAAACCCTGCTCTGTAGGATGAGAATGCAAATGTCACTGCGGCAGGCCTAGTCACTATGTGAAAGTCAATATTGATCAGCAATAGGCGTGATAACTTGTTATGCAGAGTGTTTTGATAAAGACAAATGCTTTTGAAACAGTCTTAAAGTAGAACTTATAATTAATTGTTTTGATTCTCTGAAACAGTAATATGCGGCGGTCTGTCCTGGATGGAGAACTCTCTAATACAGTTTGAGTAATACGGATCTTTTTGTGGCCTTTCAGCTGATCTCATACACAATAACTCTTGCTTGTGGTGTGTTTTCTGTTCAGCACATGGGACGTTATAAATAACCTGATATCCACTTGGATTTTCCCATCTGCCGAGTTAAAGCACGGATAATATGGTCCAAATGTTGCCTATAGATAAACCACCAATTTGGTTAAACTGCAATGTGTGTGAGAGCAAGTTAAGTATTATCTGGAAGCTCGTGGATTAATTTAATCTGCTTATTTGTTGTGACTATTTTTGGGAGAAAATTCCATTTATTTACCGCCATTATTGAAAGAATATATGATGTGCCTTCACTCTGACATTACACAGAAGCCGGCAAATGTTACCGTTGATGTCTCATAAAAGAAAGTCATGTTACAACACATAGCTCAAATCGTTCGTTCCTTATTCACCCCCCCCAGCAATGACACAGAATGGTTGTAATGGAAATACAAACAAAGGTTAGACTCCCTTGACAATGAAGATGAATCATCTTTACCTGATCATACACAGGATATTATGTGAGCTTGATAATACGTCTGTCGAGCTCTTTCTTTCTATTTGCTTTACGATTATAAGGATGCAAGTTAATAGTCATCTGCACTCTGGTATAATCTACCATTCATAAATATTTACTGTGCTTTTTGCCAGCCTGAAGGTTTAGCTCTTTTGTTTAACCGGCGGACAAATTCATGATCATTCATGATGTTACTTTCTTTGCATTTTTACCCTTAATATTGCATTAAGGCGAAGCAGACACTTTAACAAAAGTGATCTGTAGGTATAGGATTAAAAGCGTAGGCCTATAAACAATTGTTTTGGCCAATAATTTCTAATTAACATGAAGCGTCAGTGCACTGCGGCGGCGAGAACACATCCTGTGACTCAGTGTAATGTTGTTGTCTGTTAGCGTTCATTTGAAATGTAACTGCTCAATGCTGTATAGCTTACATAAAATGCCCTATATATAAAACAAAAACAACACTGTCCACTACAATTAAGCTGTGGCCATGTGAATATTAGCCTGTAGGTCGGTGTTTTGCGTCATGCTGCACAAGTATAGCTGTCTAATGAGCATTTGTTCATTTTTTATGAATGGAAAACTTAATTGAGAAATGTCAGCCAGGTTTGTACTGTGGCGCAATGATGGTATCAGTTCCATGTATTGTCATAACCATCATTGATTAAGGAAGTCGTTATAAACGTATGAATGGCTTCGCAGTTTAGGACAAATCCAAATTTTCTCTGAATGTACTCAGATGAAAACACAGAATAGACTCTATATAGTCTTAGATAGTGTAATGATGAAGGGTGCCGTATGTTGCACGAGCTGTTGAACGACTTCAGAAGCAAATTTGTGATTTTGGACTATAATTGACTTGAATATAGACGAACAAAGAGCCCACCAGTTTTTGTAGCATTTGTCTCATTCTAACCTTTTAAGCCTGTACTACTTGCTTTAATTATCAATTTCTAGTCTTTATTTTCATACAGACCTATTGTTGATCCATATAATGATGTATCATATAAACAAAATTGACAAACCACTACTTTCTCGTTTTGTTTAGCATAGCAATGACGTGTTTCTGGGTTAAATGTTAAAGGAGAAGTGCAAACATGAAATACGAAAAGGTTTAGCGGTGCAACAAAGAGACATTTTTTCGGCAGTATAATCTTAAATGGTTTAGTTGCAACTGCAGTTGTGTCAAGTAAAAGACAAATGATATAAATAAGAAACAACAACAACAACAAAGGAATATTTAATGATGTCATCTTTATTATTATTATTATTAGAGTACAACAACCATGGTCAAACAAGTGGAATAGATAATAAAAAATAAATCCTCTCTTCTCATTAATGGAATCACACACACACACCACCACACCACCCACACACACACACACACTCACACACTAGCACACGCACACATGTACACACAACAGAGACATACACGCGCACATCCAAAACAGTAAAAAGGATTATTCACTGGATTACCCTTAGACATAGATACAAGCTATATAATGTATTTATATGGCCATATGTTAAGGTAATAAATGCTCATTGAGCACTTTTTCATTCTGCTTTAATGGCAGCAGTAGAATAAACGGACTTAGACCTTCAACCTGTATAAAGCGCACAACTTTTAAAATGTAATTTAAGATCTGGTAAATTTAGCTAATGGTTTTATTTATGTAAACATGTGGGGGAATATTTGACTGGCCACAGACTTGCGCATTCATCAGCACACTCCGGGATGCCGTTTGGCGTTATCCGGGTTAAGGTCTGGCGTCTGGCCTTTTAAATTTCATGGTTGAATCTGAACTCAGCAGTCATGACAAACATCGCACTTGCTAATGCGTATACCGGTTACATTTAGTTTTACGTCATACAGTCCAAACATTGAGTATTATATAATTTAATTCCCAAGTGTAAGGATTTTTTTAAACCAAAGTTCAATTCAGTCTAAGCTTATTAGTGACGTCATTTGGCGATGAAAAAGGCGAGATCTGTTTTAAAATCTCAACACTTTTACAGTTTGTATGGTGCAGACGCACACTGCACGCGTACTTATCACTTGGGATTTATTTTGAAATGTGTCTTTTTAGTCTCTCTGGTTAAACTGTCATTTCGTATTTTGCAATTTATGGAAGACAGTGCACGCAGTTTGGGTTAATTTCAGCAAAAGTGTGGTTTGTTGGGCTGCACTACTATAATTTTACTTTTGCACACAAGACTGTCAAGTCTATACAACCTCATATTTAGCCCCCTCAATAATTCATTTAAATTAGCCTTTTTTCTTTCTCAAACCACTCGTTTACAATAAAAGAAAAAAAAAAACATTTCAAACATCCAATTACGCACATCATCATACATATCACACAAAACAAATTGGACTACAACACACCAAAAACAGAAACATGCATACACATACGACTAAAACTCATCCCAATAACACTCCTCAGCCTCACCGTTTTTCAAAATGTACAAATATACTCCTGCACCAAAGTCACCACATGATGGAAAGCTAGCATTTACTAATGCAACATATATGTTGTTCTCTACCTCAACCAATCTGCACATGTGCATTAAACATTCAGTATTTATGCCACAATTAGTCTAATTTGTGTTCCCTGTGACATTGCTGACTTCTTCGGTTACTCTTTCTCCATCGTATATTAATATTGCATTATTTTCTGTGTCGCTGCAACCCTGCAGGGGAGTTAGGGGTTGTTTCACAGCCTACTAACTGACAAGCTACATTAGTATATTGCAGGGTAAACTCCTGCCATTAGATACAACAGTAACATTATCCCTGTTATTAAAGCTTTCATCTAGTTTGCCCTTTAACGAACCTTTTTACCTCCTCTGCAGTCTCCACTTTCCTGTCTTCGGCCTCTCTGTTTGATATGAATTGTTTCACATGCATACATACAGTGGTGGTGGTTTTATGTTGGGCGAGGAACTCGGATGCAGTCTTATTAACGACACGTTTATGAACAATCAAATGGTCCTCGTTAAAATTTATTGATGGGCATAAAATCATGAACGGTCACTAGCCGAATATAGCCCGCTGTAGTGGGCTGCTTGTCAAGAATCCGAATCCCCTCCTCTCCTATCTCCACAGATCCCATTTGGGAAATGTTTGGTTTCTTGCGCCCTCTTAAAACAGTGCAAACTTTATTGTTGGTGTATCCTGCGTCCCGTATTTTGATTCCCCCCCCCTCTTGTCTGTCTAGTCTGTATGTAGCTACTGAAGGCTTCTCTGTGTGTTTAGAAATGAACAGCATTGTACAGGAAGTTATAAACCTTTCACTTTATCAAATGTGCCGTTGGTTTGATAAAGCTAAAAGGCGTCAACGATCCAATAAACACTTTAATGAAGTAATACTATCCATTGCAATAACACGGGACTACGGTATTCGCCGGACAGAGATTGATTACACCATCAAATAGTGCCCTGCTCGGTTTTAGACGTAATGTGCGCAGGTCTGTACTGCGACTAGAGAAAGATCCACTCTGAGCACTACAAACGCATATTTCCTTTATAAAAAAAACATGGTTGTTGACGTTACCTCTAATACGTCCAAGAAAGAGAGCAAAGGAGCACATTCTTTAATCCGATTTATGTGCATTGGTATCCCAGGATAAGTGGCGCATTGATCCACTGTACAATTTTTGTGGGGGTAAATATAATCACGTGTCGGCGAGGCAGCCAATAGCAGCAAGGGAAGCGTTGAGAAATAATTACCTGCCTTGATTGTTCTATGGCTAGATAAAAAAGTACACATACACTCCATATAATAATCGGATGCATGTAAAAGAGTCGGGGAAGCTTCGACATGTCGACCACGGGTCCCATAAGTAATTATTATGTGGACTCCTTGATCAACCATGAAAACGAGGATGTCCTTGCTGCAACTCGGTTTTCGGCTCCCGGTTCGCACCCAGCCGGCCCTCGTCCGACGTCCCTAGTACCGGAGTGTGCTGACTATCCTTCCTGCAGCTTCGCACCCAAGCCACCCGTCTTCTCCACCTCCTGGGCCCCCGTACACTCCCAGTCATCAGTGGTTTACCATCCATACAGTCACCAACCTCACTTAGGCACAGACTCGAGGTATATGCGGTCATGGCTGGAGCCGATATCAGGCGCCGTGCCTTTCCATGGCTATCCGGGGAACAGCAGGCACTATGGGCTGAAGCCCGACGCCTTTCAGGAGCACAGAGCCGGCGAGTGTCTCGGCTCCAGCGGACGGACCTACACGGATTATCTGTACTGCTCATCCACTGACATCCGAGACAAGACGCAGCAGAATATCCCCTCTCCCGAGTCGGAGATCCTGGCTTCAGGGAAACATAAAGACGAGAAGCCGGAGCTAGATCCTAGTAAGTTCAAGCTCCTACAGTCTTTTACAACCTGGTGGGAGTTTTGCTTTTGGGGATTGTGTAAAACTGCGTTTGCTTAAAGGCATTTTAACGTCCTGCTTAAAGTGAAATTATAAGCTGTTTCATCCTCCCTTTTCAGCTAAGCTCTGAATCGCCTCTGCTAGGGGGGGGGAAGCTTTAGGAACTATAAAAGACAAACGCTACTAGGCTAATATTGGGGCTATAAAACCAGACGGGGTTGTAAACATGGACTCAAACCTACAGGAAGACGTTGAATTTGGAAGGGAGTCGCATAATGTGAAAAACATGCAAGGTGTTCTTTTTAAGTGAAGAGCCTAAACCGATATATGGATCAATATTCATCGGTAAATGTCTCATGATGCATTTTTACGACCATGTTTTCCACCCGTGGCTGTGCATGCGGCACATGAAGCCCTATAAGCCGACTTCAGTAGTTTTTTTCTTCTTCTTTTTTTTTGTTTGCTTTAATGTAGGCCCATGTTGGGAGTAAAATCCACATTTTTGGCTCTTTTTGATCCCCAGTGACGAAACTATATTATCCACCCACATAATAATAGGAGGATGATATGCATATTGTTACATATGAGAATTTGCACTCCTCTCTGGGTCCAAAACAAATTCACATGACTCTTCCAGCCAACTTGAGGAATGTAGGGACATACTGGAGGACTTTCACCACGGACCTGTAAAGGCTTGAACCACGGGCCATTTTATGGGCCAATAAAGTGAATAAGCGCATTGAGTATTTTACGACGGTGTTACTCACAAGTTAAGGGGACAAGGAAGCAAATCAGCGTAGGGTTGGATAGTCTGAGGCCGAGAATCTTCCCTCAAAATGTATTTAAAATGCTAAATGTTTACTATCAGCATTGCTATAATGGTAAACACCAAACATGGGTGTGATTTGACATGGTTTTCAATTGTAGTTCCTTCTGATGAGCCCACAGAATTGCTGTGAATCCAGAAGCAAATTTTCTACACTTATGTAGTAGTCATGTGTCATCGTTTCTGTTTTGAAAATGTGTATGGTGATCTAATATATTGTGTTATATTCTGTATTCACTGTAATTGTGGTTTTTATTTACAGATAACCCAGTGGCAAATTGGATACATGCCCGCTCCACAAGGAAGAAGCGATGCCCTTACACAAAGTACCAGACTCTCGAACTGGAAAAGGAGTTTTTGTTCAATATGTACCTTACTAGAGACCGCCGATTCGAGGTCGCTAGGGTCCTGAATCTGACCGAGAGGCAGGTCAAAATCTGGTTTCAGAACCGACGAATGAAGATGAAGAAAATGAACAAAGAAAAGACCGACAGCAAAGAACAATAATGTGGACTGCAGTCAGAAAACAACCATAATAATAACCACTAGTCACATGGACAGCACAGATGTACCAAAACACACAATGAACCCCCCTCTCCTTCTCTTCATATTTATCACTTTGTTGGATTTTGTATTAACCTTAACTTCGAGACTGTTTGATGCTGATTATGTTATTTTCCTGTGCACATTTATGTGTCAAGCGTTAAAGAAAAGAAGAAAAAATAAACTTTTAAGGAGATAATTACAATCTGCTTTCACTCCGAAATACCTTTATGGTTTTTTTGTAAGAGAAATTATTACAAGTGCAGTTTGGACACGTTAAAACTGTACGGAGAAAGAGAATACTTGAATTCTTTTGAATTTCACAAACCCATAATTTATGATGTGAATGTTTTTCTTTCATGTTTATTTCCTTTGTACGTTGTTGTGCAGGTGTAGTATTTTGTACAGAAACCGAAACATCTGCGATCGGACTTGTCTGTCTTGTATTTTTGTGATAGTTGTTGCTGTATTTGACTGTATTTTTCTTTTTGATTGTAGCCTACGAGTTTAACTATAGAGTGTAGATATAGATCTCTGCAAATATAAACATAATCACTAAGTGCTTGTATTCTGTATTCATTGTGGCTCGGTGTGGATATCGTATTTGCGACCAAACGCATTTAGTTACTGAGTACATGGCTGCAGACAGGGCCTAACAAACAGAATCGGTCAATATCAGCCAAACTAATTTAGTTGATTTAAAAACCGCACGAAAATGGAGTTACCTAATCACCACTGGCAGAGCTGTGCTGCAAACAGAATAGGGCTTTCTAAATAATTATGCCTCCACAATTATTTGTCTAATATGTTTTGGCCGACGAGCATTCCTCCAAGTACAGCTAAGGCCTAAATGAGCTCTGCCACTGCAAATAATGGCGAGGTCACAAAAATCAACGCTGTCAGCGCAGTTTGCCAAGACAACGTTCGTTTTAATTTAGCTTTGCATTGCTTTAAAATTTGAGCCTCCCTTAAGTCTCAGCTACCTTTATTTGCAGTTATGTATGTAAGGATATCTGCAGACACAATCTAAGAAACACACAAACTGCCTCGTTTGGTCTATAAGGGGAAAGAGAGTACATTTCTGAAAAAGCAATAAGCACCGGTTTTACAGCAAATATTTAATTCCTCTGTTGTGTTGACTGTTTCACTAATATGGATGAGCTACAGCAGGATACTCCATTTCAATTGTACACGAAGCATTTTTTAAAAGAACAATAAATGCACAATGCATGTGCGTTTTTTTTTTCCCTTTGGTGCGTGTCCTTTGTGTAGAAAGTACCCCAAAAAAATATATGTGCAGTTGTCACATTTCCAAGAACCTATCAGTTTGTCCGTATTAACCACCGCTATATTTATTTTTTTCTAAATGAACTAAAACCTCCTAAATAAACTTATAGATTGCTAGTTTTATACAGGCCCAGAGGCGGTCAGAGAACCTGACACTAAATTTAAACATTTGAGTTTTAAGTGAGAGACGATTTCCCATGTCTCGCGTTTGTTTCCTGGGATAGGCCTAAATTGCCTTTTTGTGGTGGCAAACAATACGGACAGGATGCTGTAATTTAAAAGCTCAATCCCGTGCATTTCCGCTCTGCTCGGACAAAAATGCCAGTTTTACAGCCCCTGTTGGAGCTCGGCTGTTTGTCTCAAATGCAGACGAACAAAGCAAACTCGACTAACTGGCTAGACGTCTGGGCTAAATTACTTTATGGTTTTAATGGACGCTGGTGGTGGACGCGTTCAAAGGAGAGTCATGCGCACCGTTCAGGGGACTTTTGCCTGATGGGCCAGCCGCAACCCCCCCACCACACTTCATCACATGAGTGGTCTATTAGCCTACAAATAGATGGGTGGGAAAGTCAATAGTTATTGTGCATAAATATGAGTGCTGCAGAACACTGATATCTCTTATATAATAGCAGGTAGTGGCCACGACATGAAAAGGCACAGCACAACAACTGGTTCAAGCTTTCTAGGATAAGCGGTGGATGGATGGATGTAAAACAAAGGGGACTGGAGGCATGTAGTTACATATTTTGTAGTGTAAGGATTTTTTAACTCTTGTTTATTTAAGGAAAAGGTCGGGATACATAGGCCTACAAGGTTTTGGGCAAATGGGGAGAACCTTTTCTGTCCACATCACAGTTGTTTCTGATTGGTGGATTCATTCAGGTTTAGGGACACATCTCAACACTAGATGACGCTGTCGGACCATGTTTTGAGCAGAGTCCGTGTGTTGAATGGGTCTTTTACAGCTCTGTGGCTTGGCTGAAAAATGAAGAGTAACCTATCGATGACAAAATGACAGATATGGTCACCCACCGCATTTTGTGTAATAGGCCACAGAGCAGCACTCCGGTATGCAGCGAGCTGGTTGTTGTGTTGGCCAGATAATGTGTGCATAAAAAGGATTTTTTATTTGATATTTTATTTTATTATTATTATTTATTTACTCCTGTCTTGTGAGGAATATTGTATTTTAATTTTTTTCACTTTTTCGGTTTAAAAATCACCTCAAATGTCCGTGAATTTGAAAAGTTAATTGTGATTTTTAATTGCAACCCATTATGTGTGCATTAAAAATAGGATCATTCTGCTCGGACAGACTTTAGTTTTAACAAAGGCTGCATTTAAATGGGGTAAATGGCCATTATGTGTTTGTATTCTGTGTCTGGATTAAAAAAAATATATTTGTTTTTATTTTTTATTTTGTAAATAAAAAATCATAACTCTGTTAAAATACTTGGAAAAAACAAAATAACAACAAATAATTAATAAACAGCCAGAAACAATATTTATATATAAAAATCAGACTTTAATACCAGTTCGTAAACAATTGCATCAGTAAAATCAATACCATACAACACTGACAGCAGAAATAACAGCAACAATAACAAAACATGGCCCAATAATAATCATCACCATCATAATAATAATTTTATTGACACCGTACACTTGATTAAAAAACAGCTACCTGGTCATTTATATCCTTAATATTTGACGTCTGTAGCAGCATTTCAGAGTCCCCAAGAAGTGTGCAACAATGATTGGCAATCTGCATATTTATAGAGTGTGAAAGGTCTATAAATTCGCCCAGTGCGCCTTTCATATTTTACGATGATGTGTATAAAACGTCAGTAGCCCCACAAAAACCACACTGGCATATTTGGAGAGGGAGCCCATACAACTATTGAGCTGGGAATTGTGCGCACGCTCATTGTAGCTAAACATCCAATGTAAAATTTTATGAACTCCTCCACGAGGGAGATTTACTGCTTATCCTCGTCGGTTTTACGGGGTCAGTAAGTGGCACCTAGTATTCACAGGTCGTGTTTATATTTGCGTGTGTCGTGTTTTACTGCGCATGGTGCAAGTGTGTTGCCCTGGCCTTTACTCGATTATTACACGATGAGGATGTTTTGTCTTATTTTACCTCTCTGCGTGTCATAGCTTCATTTTTGTCTCGCTTTTATGTAACATTTTGGTTTTCATGAACTTCTCAAATGCTGTGTTGACCTCCTGGAGCCCATAAAAGGTCAACTATTTTCCAGAAATTAGTGTATAACCTTCAGTAGAGCCTCTTTATACAGAGGAAACCTCCCCTGCTTTATACACCCCATAACCTCCATGCAAAGACAACAAGTTAAACTATAAATTCAGATTACAGTGGAAATGTTCCATGTGTCATAGTCTTTATATTTTAACCGTTCCTTATCTCCACTGATCAGCTTATAACAAAGCTTTTGTGATAAACATAACATTGATCATATTTAAAGCCTCTTGGGTTGTTGGTTATGATTAGTGCAGCTCCTCTCAAGGTGGATATACGTAGGGCCGACGTCTGACCGGTCGTAGAAAGATGAAGGGGTGGG